ATGAGTGTTATGCCCAAATGTAAGTGCACCTGTGTCATGCATTGCCCATGGAGGCCAGAAAGGCGGGGGGGGGGTCATTGATGGTTGTTATGGAAGATTGTTAGCTGCCATGTAGGTGCTGGGGACTGAACCCAGGACCTCTGCAAGAGCAGCCAGTGCTCTTAACCACTGAGCCATCTCTCCAGTATCATAAAGCAAGGACTTTTAGACTAATCCCCAAAAATGCTGATAGTGGGACTAAAGATGGTGGCTGGAGGAGAGAAGAAAGTGGCGAGAAGTTGGGGTTGAAGGTGTGTCTGACAGTACCAAGGGCCCCGTGGGCAGGTGGCCTGGACTCCCAAGCGATGCAGTCACACACAGAGCCATGTGTGATTCTCTAGATAGACAAGAGGAGGCAACAGTCTGGATGTAACCAGCTTGTAGTTTTTAGGTGAGAGCAGAAAGGAGGAAGAGGAGTGTGAGCGTGGAATTCACACCATGGAGATCAAGTACAGAGAGGTGCTAGTGCAGGCCACCCATGGACTCGCCTTGAAGGGCTACTGTACCAACCTTAACTGCTTCCTCTGTGAGCACATTTGATCATTTCCTAAAAGGATAATGGCTGGGTATGGTGGTTCACACTTTGGAGACAGAGACAGGTGCATCTCTGAGAGCCTGGTCTACATAGTGAGTTCCAGGCCAGCCAGGGCTACATAGTGGTACCCTCTTTCAAACGAGAGAGAGAGAGAGAGAGAGAGAGAGAGAGAGAGAGAGAGAGAGACTGTAGCTCCATGGAAAGAGCTAGAATAGATTTGCAACTTCAGTATTTGAAAATGCTAAGGCTCTAGTATTACTAACAAGAGCTTTCCTTGGTGTTAATAATTAAGAGTAACATATAATTCACTTTTCAAAAATGTGATCCATAGCCAGGCATAGTGGCACTCGCCTTTAATCCCAGCACTTGGGAAGCAGAGGCAGGCAGATCTCTGTGAGATTGAAGCCAGCCTGATCTACATAGTGAGTTCCAGGCCAGCTGGAACTAGAGGGAGATCCTGTCTTAAAAAGACACATATATATATATATATATATATATATATATATATGAACTCCTCTAAAATTTAGCAGGAAAGAAAGTATTCCAAATCAGAAGC